CGGTCTCATCTTGTCCGAATGATGCCTAAAACAAGTCTCCTTCGGTCCTTCAAAGCTCCAAAAACGTGTGTACCGGCTAAAACGTCGTTTCGCAAGCGGGAGGAGTTCCTCGTGGAATCTCAGGTATCGTACAACTCTCAGGCGTGACGGAACGGGAGAGAAGAATGAGCTCCGGAGGCGACGCGACACAAGTATTACGCGGAGAAACGACGAATGGATATTACAGTAATAACACCTCTCCGTCCGTATAAACGAGCGACTGGCGAAGGGTGAAGATAGGGCGGCAGGTCGAGGTAAGCGATAAAGCGATTGATGGTTTTTGTCTCAACGGCGGAAGTGAAAGGAGAGGTTTGATGGTCTCAGCTTCGACTTGTTAGCCCAGCCCAGCTCAGCAGCACCAGCCCAGCGGCGGGCGGCGGCGAATGGGATACAAGCAGGGGGCAGCCCGAGAGACACTAGCGCTAGAGGGCAATGCAACCCTAAATATAACATGAAGGCTCCGCAACACGATATTGTTCCGAGGGAGACATCAATGCGCCCATCGTATTCTGGGCTTGGACATTACGAGGGCAAGACTTTTCGAGGAGGTGGGTATGTCATGGACCGTCATTGCTATACCTCGTGAGAATACCGTGGAGTCGACGGGCTGCTTACACGGCCTTGTCATGCAGCGTTGCGCGTTCCACGCACGAAAACGATATTCTCGCACGTCCGTTTCCCGAGCGATGGGCGGGCGGCGCAGCCATCATCGACTTGTGGTCTGGCCACTCACATCCCGCCTCCTGCACCTCCGCTGCAAACATCACAACACAGCACATCATGTCACCTCACCTCATATTCATCTTTGCCATTGTCGCGATTGCCATGCGATAAATAACACATAAAAGCAGTCGGTCCGCGCATTACTCACTGAAACCGTTGACTGCGAAGATTTGGCCGGGGTCCCCCTCGTCGATCGAGCCTCACCCACCAGGGTCTAGAAAGGAGATCTGTGGGTATGCCCGATGAGGTCGATCACCCAAATCTTGGTAGGCGGGTTTACCATCTTTCTTTTATTCGCACTCACTTCTCTTGAGATAGTCTGATCGTAAGTAATGTGCTTCTATGTATTGAGTGGGTGTTCGTCATTTGATCACGCTGGATTGCCGATGTTACCTAGGTATAGGAAGTGGCAACGTGCCCCACAACCCACGTGATTCCAGTACCACGGTACTTATCGATATACATATTTGTCATGGTAGCTGGCAGTTAAACAAAAGGACGGTTTCGTCAGCTTGTTGAGTCCGAGAATGACCATGCATAACGAGCGTCACAGCGATGCGAAGTGACTTGGCCAAGTCCGCCTAACACTCAAGTATCGAATCGTATTACATCTAAAAGGGTATCCGCATATATCCAACCCTCCATATGAAGTCAACCGAAAGTATAAATCAGAAAGTCTAAAGAAACATTGCGCGCTTAATCAACTTTTCGTCACCGCCGTCCCTCCCACCACGCCTTATCCTTCTCCCTCCTATGCGGCATACTCTCCCTAATATCCGTCTCGCGATCACTCGCAAACTCGACACTGCGCGCACGACTCCTACTGCGCGGTCTCTCAATTTTCGTCGTGCTCCTCCGACTAGGCGGCGCGCGGTCCTCAGCGGGGAACGTCGACCGCGGAGAAAACGTGTCTCTCCTTGCTTTGCGTGTGGAAGTAGGACTCGTGAGTCCACCGCCAACTTTGCTGTTTGAGAAATCTGCAGAAAGAGGCCGCGCAGTACGGCGTTTACTGCGGGTAGTAGCGGTGGCAGGTGGCTTTTTGATGTAGTCGTAGGTGGCTGGATCGCGTTTTGCGAGTTCACGTTCTAGGCGCCAGAGAGGGGCTTCGGGGAGGACTTTGACGGCCATGGTGTCTCTCCATTTGATCTTCCAGTAGACTTCTGCGTCGCCGGCTCGGGAGTTGTTGGCGCCGTAGTCGACGACGAGTTTGTAGCTGTCGGTTAGGGCGCGGGCTTCGTAGAGGCCGCGATCTTGGATTCCGGGGCCTTCGAGACGGTAGCGGGTGCGGACTGAGGGGTGGATGTATTCGTTGGTTTGGCGGAGAGGTCGTTCTGTTGAGCGGCCTGAGAAGGGGTCTACGGAGGTGTATTGGCCTGGTTTGCGTTGCTGCCACTGCTGTTAGTACGCATGCGGATGTTTGTAAAGAATTGAGACTCACAGTGCTACCACCGATTGCAAAGGCGCCCTTCAGCTCGCTATAGATCTTGCCAAAACTCCACGGTCGGATCGCACCTTCCTCTTTCTTGTAGTACTTTTCGTTCAGATCGTCTTGTTCGAACAGATACTCAGACCGCAGATCCAGGAATGGCTCGAGTTGACTCATCATCCACGCAAGACTGATATTCGCAATCTGCATGTCATCGTAGCCACCACCCACATTCGCGTGCGCACCCGGGAACCATACTTGGCGGAGCGTCGTCCGGTTACCCTCAGGCTTTTCCCAGACGGCGGGTGAAAACGACGACCGATTCTCATCCAGAGCCAACGCCTGAAATGCATTCTCAATGCAATTAGACAACTTGGTGTCGTAGAAAGTCGTTGCTTTTGACTGCTTCATCTGTAGACCCAGGCGCTGCAGCTTCCCGATCCGCGGTATGCCGAGACTGCCAACGGTGTCCCACACCGCTATGCACTTAATTGGAATGTCCAGTCTAGTCAATCCTCTGCGTTCCAGTTCTTCTGCGTATCGTGGGTCATCTGCGCTTGGTTTCCGCGGGAAAGGTACATCCTCGTGCTTTGGGCGATAGTCAGGGTTCCGCCGATTTTGAACATCTTCGTACACTTCTGGTAGCGTGTTCAAGCCTTTCTTTGTGAGAAGACCAATCTCTCCAATCAAGCCGCCGATGCTACGCGCGGTAAACGCGCCTCTCGAAAATCCTAGCAAGAAGATCTCGTCTCCAGGGTGATAGTTGTTGGCAAGAAACGAATAGGCCTCTCGAACATCATCGCTCAGGCCCTTGCCCGTAGCACCCCCAACCAATCTCGAGAGCTTTCCGCCTTCCGTCCCAAGACCTTGGTGATAGTTGACAATCTGCTGGATACCATCCTGACTGACTGCCTTGATGGCTCTTGATATCCTGGTGATGTTGCTTGGGATGGAAAGAGTACCGTTCTTGGTTCCATCGTCCGAGTTTAGCCAAGTTCCGTCACACGCGACGATCAACCTCTTGAACATCCCCCGTCCACCGCTGAGTCCAGGTGCGTCGACCATGGGTTCGCGCATGCTACGCACGCTTCTGCTCCTTGCGCGGGGTGCTGGTGCTGGCACATCAATGATGAGTGGTGATTTAGCCCCACTTCGCGGAACATCCACAACGATGGGCTGTGATGTTAACGGCGCTCTGGTGCTCGGCGCCCGACTTCTGCTCCGCGCTCGGGATAGTGCTACAGACATTCTTTTCTTGAGGTTCCTGGCTCTTTCTTGATGTGCCCTTGAAAAAGGCAGTTGCTGTCGTGGTGTAGACGCAGCCCAAGTCCAAGGGGAGTTAGAGCGGGCTACGTCGATATGCGTGAGCTTTTTACGCCCGCGGCGAGGTTTGGTGACTGGCAATGCGGCTAACCCGGTTGTTGCGTATCCACGTGTCGACTATCCACTCTGCTGGTGTTGTGTTGCTGGCAGCCTTGGGCTATGTCCGCGAATGGCCTTTCGTAAACCACTGCAAAGACGCCGGAAAGACGCGCTTCGTTTCGTAGCGATCGCACGTCTAATGGGCAGTGGATGAGGGTGTCGCGGATCCCCAGCCTCCTCTTTTCACAATTTCCAGCTCTTCCGTTCCAACTCTTCAAACTTGATGGGCGGGAGTAAGCGAGGCAACGGGCTTCCTCATCAGCCTCGGGAACCTGCAGCAAGCACTTTGACGCAGGGCACAGGAATTCGTGAAACCGAGGGGGTCGGATGGTCAATATGGGAAAGGAAATAGGGCGGACGTGTCGCGCAGCGCACAGCGCACTCTTACGTCGAGTGGTTGGGCTTCGGCTTCAAAGCTTTGCTGTACAGGGCTGGGGGTGCCCAAGTCATTGGACTCGCTTACCCAGCCTCTTGTCTGCGAACATGCGATTACCCCTCGGGATTGTTGATTCTACCAGGCGGATGAGCAGAATCTGGAGCAGCATGCAAAGATTTACTCGTCAACCCCGCTGGTGTGCGCGTGTGCGGTCAAAAGTGAGGCTGTTCTCCAGCGCATCTCGCTCGACCGCAACTTCTTCAACAACGCAGCGCCAAGGTCTCTGTCCCTTCCTGTCTGGGGCTAGGATACACCGCATCGTAGGAGCCGCATTGGGCGCAGATGGCCCTGCCGGTGAGGGCCCAATTTTCGCGCTGTTATGCGTTAGACCATTGCCAGGTGTAGTGTTAGGTGCAGGAAGTGCGCAACTCGGGCGGTGAGCGCAGAGTACGTGTTGGTAGGGGACAACCCGGCCCACCAGCTCTGGTCGGCAACAATCGAGATTGCCGACATCACAGATACGTTCGTGCAAGAGCTTGTTTTGATGAGCTGTTCTGATGAGCTGTTCTGAAGGATATCAACTGTTTTTCAATTTCATGAACTTTTATCTAGTAGTTCCGGTCCTTTTACTTCATTCTTCGTCGCCATGGGCGACTGCCACATTCTGGAAAATGCTGGCCAACACCTAGTCGCAGATTCGCGCATTCAGACGCCGAGTAACAATCCAGCGCCTCAGCCAGGCCTCCTGGCTGATAATCGCACAGCTACACTCTACAGTTATCTTACAGAATTCCTTCCTAGACACCCAGATCTCAAGAACTCCATGCGATAAATCAACATCCCTAGAGTGTGTAGTGCAGCGCGAGCGGCGAAATGGAATCCATCTAGGACATACGCAATGATGAAACGACATGAGGAGAGAATACAATAGATAGGAGGAATAGATGAGAGACGTGCCCCGGGAGAATCGTAAATGTCGTATACAGAGAGAAATCGCGCAAAGGAAATAGCGGCCTAGTAGCCGCCAAAAAGGTCATCAAGCTCGTCAAGGTCAATGAGCTCCGGGCTCTTCATGATCCAGTCGTCGTCAAGCTCGAGTTTTATCGACTTGCGCTTGAGCGACGGCGGGGGCATTTCGATGTGGAGCACTGGTTTCAGCGCGGGGCTGCTGGGTGATAGCGCGCTCTGGAAGGTCATGAGCTGGTCCATTTGGCCGAAGAGGGCGGCTGCGGCTTCCGAGTCCTTTTGAGCAGCGCTTTCTACGGTCTCCTCGACGGAGACTGAAACTTCTTCCATTTTAACATCGCTCTGTTGTGTTGGCTCGGCAGACGCGCTGGCAGATCGCTCACGCTCGGCTTCCTGGCTCATGCGACGTTGCTGCAGGAACGACGCAGTCTGGGTGAACTCGCGCTCATCCTTTTCTAAAGGCGGCGACTGAGCTCGGCGGTTGTGCGAGATGTTTGCAGTCGTGGGAAGATGGCTCTGCTTGGAGAAGGGGTCGCTGTCGTGGCTGTCGTAGTCGGACAGGTCTAGCTCGGGCGACGGTGACATGCGACCTCTTGATCTCGCATCCGCGTCCTCTTCTTCCGAAGTTGCGGACGACAGCGATGGGGTGACGATGCGTGGTGCCATGGCGGTGCTAGTTCCGTCGGCCGGGATAGGCTGATGCGGGCAAGTGGAGAGGAAGTAGTAGACACGCTTGGGGTGGGTACCAACAAGCTTCTTGTCGAGAGGACATCTCGACAGGGCTGTCCAATTGCGCTTGAGGTAGGTCGCTAAGCGTGACGAGATAATGGCAGCTGGGTTGGCGGAGCTAGAGTACGTCAGCATGAGTAACTGGTGGTCAGGGCGTGGATGGCGGAAGTTTGGTACGTACCTCTCAACAATGGGAATGATGGGCGATAGAACGAGGGCGAGTTCCTTCAGCAGGTGGGGACGGTTGCCTGTTTTCTGGAGCTGTTCGATAACGCCGACCACGATTTCGTCGTCGATGCCCTGGGTATCGATCTTGGTCGTGCCGGACTCGCCGCCCGGCGACGGTGGCGGGGTGTCTGCCACCCGGCCTGAGCTTTTGGGTCGCTGCTCATCGAGGCGCAGTGCGGCGGGGCGTGATGGCGAGGGGAGTGCCGATGAGAGAGAGCCGGAGTGGGAGCGTTTCTGTTTCTTTGCGGCGTGCTGGCCGTCGCTTGTCGAAGGCGGTGAGCGCGCGGATCGCGGTCCTCCTGGCAGCTGGATGCCGAGCGACGGCAGCGACAGCGACTTCCGGCGGGTGTTGTAGGGCATCGTGGGAGTGACGATGCAGTCGCAAACGTCGCGCAGGGAGAGAGGAGGGAAGAAGGGAGGCTTCGGGGGGACAAGATAATTATTGAGGCTGGCAGAGGGTGTGCAGCCAAAAGTGTTTTGTTACTGCGCGAATGCCAGGGTCGTCGATTGGTCCGGTAGGAATGCAATGCAGCCTATACCACCAACGCTGCCGCCGAGATGCAGGTAGCGTGCGCTTCTGTCTGCACTGCAGGCTTTGGCGTCGAAAAGAGCGCCTGATTATTGCGAGAGATGTCTGGCGGTGATGAATGCTGAGTGGCACCCGTCCTGTCGCAGCTACGCGGCTCGCCTCCTGAAGAGTGAATACGTAACTCGGCGATGGCGCCCGGTTGCCTTGAGCTCGAACCAACAACTTATGGCAACACAATCAAGTGCTGCGCCAACACCACGGGAATCAGGAAGCAGAAACAGAGAGAGGCAAGGGGAAACGGAATGGGACAGGACAGTTGATGTCGGGCCCTGATGTAGTTCGAGGGGTGGTGAAGGAAGAGGGGATGCGACGAGGGAAAGAACGGAGGCGTAGTGGAGCACACAGTGAAGAAGGAGCGACTAGGCTCCGGTAAGAGACCGTGCGTCTAGTAGGGTGAATGTATCCAGGGATCGCCTCTTTGGTTATGACAGCATACTACTTTTAGAGCCCGTTTTTGCTTTGTTGGCCAGGGGCTAGAGCCTAACGCTCCTATCAACATGCCGTTGCCTGCCTGCATGTACCACACGGTAGAGTCCTCTAACGTAGGTACTTACTCGCCGCACACTTCTAGGCACAACCTTCCGGCAGCCTGTCCAACGTCTTGTATGGGCTTCGTTGTCCTAACCAATCCCGTCTATCTGGGCCGTCTGTGTTGCACCTCTGCCCGTGTCAAGCTTCGGGCATCAGATGGTCTCAGCTGAGCCCGGAGCAGTGAACACCGCACTTGGATCTCTCTACATCTTGCTCCGAGCGCGCAATGAGTGGCACATGCTAGACGGAGCTGGTAAGGATGCTTCCTTGCCGACAAACCTCCGCCAACGATTACGAACGTCTACTGCCCTGAGACGGCTTTCCCGCAAGTGATCTCATGCTCAACACGTCTGGTTCGAGCATCGCGCATCCTTCCCACCTGCAATTGGGCGGGTCATCACAGCTGTCCCGCACGCTGACCGCTATAATATCTTCCGCGTCTCCAAGCACTCAAACGGCCACGATGCGAGTGGACGGGCGCTGGCCATGATCTGATGCAGCGTGCATATCATCTTGTTCCAGAGCGGAGACATCCCTGTTCTGAGGTTTCGCCTAGCCGTCAAAGTGGATTTAGCCTCAACGCTGCAACCGGGATGCCCCAGGGCGGTGAGCACACTTTTCTCGAATTTTTCTTTAACGGAAGTTTTCCTACTGGCATGCGGCCAACCCTCGGCAACGTTAATACGCGAACGACAAAAACCGTTCTCAGCACATGTGGCTTGATCGCTGCTTGTTCATTGATAACTCATTGATAACGTGTGGCATTGATGCCCGGAAAAAGCACAGTGATGATGGATGCCGAGCTGGATCTTCTGGCACATCAGTTTCACCAGCCTCCGCTCCGCATTGCGACCACACCCCCAAACATTGCGCACGCGAGTTGCCATCACTTCCGATGGCTGCGCAGGGATTGTGCATATGTCTTTACCCAATGGAGACAGGCGCATGGAACCAGGTCCGGTCTGCATGCGCAGCACAGCGTCACCTTTTGTGGGGAACTGGAAGGTATGGCGCCGCACTTGTCCTGTGGGCAGACAGATTCACGGATGCGCTACGTATCTTCCCCAGACGAAGTGTGGACTGCATGAGGAAGTTGGCAAGTCGTGAAAGACGGTGAAGATGCATTGTTTGTTTGCTTGTTCCCACACGCAACCTCGTCGACACTGATAAAGATGCATGTCAGCCATGGACGTGTCGTTGGGTGTGCTCGGCATGATGATTACGAGGTGCGAGCCCATCGTGCTCAACGGTATGGCATCAGACCCCAGACGCACATACAAACGCATGGCGTGCCCGGATGATAAGACAGAACAAAGTTCGGGCGAGCCATGTCGCGTTCCAGTCTGCCGTGACGCGATTGTGCTTTGCCCATGATCCCGACCGCAGATCTCGCTTGACCTTCTGTTGGATCCCAGGTTATCGATGGTCGCGATCTGGAAATTGCCGCTTTGGGCCTTCCCCTCCTTCTGCCATAACGCGTAAAGTTGACGTCGTTTTAGACACAATTAAGCTGGCCGGTAGAGCGCAACAGCTTGGGTGGTGGACTTAGAGTAAGTTTAGGCGCACTGTCTATAATAGCGGCAAAGCTGCAACATTTCGATCATTCTCGATCATGGTGAATGTGGGGAAGGTGACACGGCGACTTATCATCTCCACAGTGACCACCAGGACTTTTGTGTTACCGGGGATCCGGCCTGTGCAGCAAGCGGCTGCTCGACTGCGGTGGTCTCGGCCAATCTTTGCCGCATGCCCTTTCTGGGCCTCAACTGTAACCACCATGTCGTGCCGAAGTTGTAGCGCTTTATATCGACAACTTCCAGCCCGCTTTCTTCGACAATCTTGCCGATGTCTTTGTTCCACCAGCAACCATGTTCGTCTGCATGGGCTGGAGCTGACTTATCCAAGATGTTGTTGAGCCACTCGTAATGCGACTTGCCGTGCTCTAGAAGCAAAATCTGTCCATTCTCATTGGTGCACGACTCGAGATTCTGGAGCAGCTTCACCGGCTCAGGAGTGGAGCAGAGTCCCATTGTCTGTATCACCGTATCGTAGCCAATCTGGGCATCAAATGGGGGCGTAATCGGATCTAAGGCAGATTGCTGCTTGAAGAAGACACGGCTAAAGTACTCCTTGTGCGTGTCGTTCCACTTCCGCCTTGCAACAGCCAGCATGGGCCCGCTAGAATCGAGTAGCGTCACCGTCGCACATTGCTTGGTCTTGTAGTATGGTATGTTCCTGCCCGTACCAACGGCCACCTCTAGCACATGTCCCTTGGCCATGGCAGTGAGCTTCTTGCGCTTAGAAGTCAATAAGAGCAGCATCTCAGACGTGTCCACTTTCTCGTCGTAGCCCTCAGCCTCTTTGTCAAATCGATCCGACAGGTCTTCAGGTAAGTTTCCCAGGTCCGTTTCCTGCGTCAACGAAGCGTAGAGCATGGTTCCGTATGTCCCCAATCCAAATGCGATCAATCCGATACCGAACATTGGCCATTGTCTCGCTCTCCGCAGCTTTGCCTGGTGTTGCGCCGACTTCAGTTCCTCGTCTGAAAGCCGCTGTAGATCTGAGAGCCGCGGACGTGCTGCCAGCACTCTCTTCAGTGCTTGTTCGGGTGTTTGGTTCCTTGGAGCATATAGCGGTACTTCGTTATCGTGTTGCGCTCGTTGTATTCGTATGTGTTGTGGTATCGCGGGCTTCGACGGTATCGTGTGCTTTACGGGGAACGCCTTCGGGGGCTTCGGTAACTTCGCCATTGCGATGCAGGCAGACCCCAAATAATTCAGCAGCGGATGACGTTGAGGTGCGATTGGTGAGGCTGTCGATGTCAAATTGGAGCCTCAAATCTTTCCATGCACCGATGACCCAATCTCTCGGTAGCGTCAAAGCTCCCTGCAGCCACGAGATTCAACCGTGCCCAGCCGGCGCACGCCCTTCAAATCATCAGTCAGTCAACGATATCGGCCCACCAGCGGCACTTGCACGCCGTTCGGACGCAGGTAGGTGGACTTTTCTCCATGACTTTCCTTTCTTTTGCCCAGTTGCTGAATCTCTGAACGTCTTGATTTCGCGCGCAATGGCTTCTTCTGCATCTCTTGAGAGACCCTCATCCATCCTAATCGTCGGCAGCGGTGCATTTGGACTTTCCACAGCTTATTCGTTATGTCAAAACCCGCAGTACAAGGATACCTCAATTACTGTCGTAGACCGTCAGCCCTTCCCTACGCCTGATGGCTCGAGTGTAAGTAGAGCAATTCAATCTAAATTTTCTCGACGCCATACCCTGGAGCAGTAAATCCCTAGTGATCGGAACTACCGCTTCATTCAAGACCAAACGCTCAAACGAACGCATACAGATCGACGCCTCACGAATCATCCGTCCCGACTACGCTGCCGCGCGCTATACCCGTCTCGCAACCGTCGCACAAAATCGCTGGCGTACCGACTTCGCGACCGAACACTACCATGAGGTCGGCTTATGTGTAACCGCATGGGGCCCAGAGCAGAAGTACGTCTCCAGCTCGCTCGAAAACGTTCGCGCGATAGGGACAGACAAAGTGGAAGTGCTCAACTCAGCGGAAGAAATACAGAAAGCATGTGGTCTGGAAGGCAAAGACCCCTGGGGTAATGGCTGCACCGGATACGTGAACTGGAGTTCAGGCTGGGCAGACGCAGAGGGTGCAATGATGTGGTTGAGGGAAAAGGTGGAGAAGTTGGGGAGGGTGAAGTTTGTCACAAAGGGCGTGAAGAAGCTGTTGATCGATCACAAAACCAACACTGTCTCCGGTGTGCGGCTCGACGATTCGACCGAACTGAAGGCGGACCTTACAATGCTGGCGGCAGGCGCATGGACGGCATCGCTCATCGATCTTCGAGGCATCTGCAAAGCCACCGGGCAAGCTCTATGCTACATGCCCATCTCCAAGGAGGAGGAAACGAAGATGGCTCCGCGACCGACTATCTTAAATCTCTCCCACGGCCTATTCATGATCCCGCCTCACAAGGGCTTGCTCAAAGTAGCGCGCCACGGCCACGGCTACCTCAACCCAACTACAATCACACACCCCGAGTCCGAAGACCCCAACGAGACAATCACAACCTCACTTCCCTACACACACGTCGACGACCCATCACAAGCCGTCCCTATAGAAGGCCAACGCCAATGCCGAGACTTCCTCACTGCAATCCACCCTTCCCTCGCCGTTCCTTCGCGCCCGTTCACAAAATCGAAAATCTGTTGGTACAC